CTTCGCCGTTTTCTCTTCGTCTTCCGAATTTCGTGCCCATCTTTATAGGAGAATTTCTAGGAATTCCTCTAGCTCTTCCTAAACTATAGAAGCATCAGAAGCTCAGCAATAATTTTAATGGATTTGTTATTGGTATGTCAAGCCTTCAGCCTTCATTGGGACAGTTTTCAGTGCTTTAAAATCATTGCTTCCGTTGCACATAAATTTAATAAAGTTGATTTGGGTTTCAGGACACCAGGGCCACAAATGCACGCACGAGCATACATTATACGTATAGTTGCCCTCCCCCCCTTCCCCCTCACAAACTTCATTTCAGCAGCTGAGATTCGTAACGACTATTCTGCCATGGCCAGCCTGACAGAGTTAAATAGTACCTGAAAAGATGTCATAAGTACAGCAAACGAAGAAGCTTGCTTGTTATCAAAGACAACGATAGCAGAGTTTGTGCAATGAAATGCGATGAAACAGTGCAGAGCCGAAAACAAACACAGACAAGTAAGCAACTATAGTCGGCTACAGCCTAAGAATAAATGTAAGCTCTGCCCACAGTGATCATCGTCGCACCCAGGCAGAATTCGCATAAATGTCTAATTGAATAGCAGACAGTTATTTACGTGACGCCAGGCAGATATTGCACATTTTAGGCATATCACTTGACCGTACAGGTTCATGTTCAATTCGCTAGTTTTCGGTCAAAAAAAATTTACTTAGAAAATTTCATTAAAAATTCTGACTTCACTATTCTGCAAAACATATTATTTAACAAGGAATGACAAACTTTTATTTTATATTATGTGTAGTTTTTACATTACCAGCGAAAATGTGCTCATTACAATGGAGATCACCAATCATTACTCTGTAGCACAAATGAATGACAGGCATGCTGCAGTACAGGGGGCGGAGCATGTATTTATTCTTAAACTGACTATAGACGATGTGCTTGTCCATCTGAAATGTAAAGAAAACAACAAACGTCTCTGTTGAACGTTGACGCATTATCTTGCCGCTTTCATTCGATGAAGTGAATGCCCACGCATTCTCCCGCCCATGCTGGAAACTTTGGGGAAGGCTTGGAGGTGGACGCCATATGCGACTAAGACCAGGGTGAGTTTATTTTTACCTCTATGATGCAGGGCCGCAGACGGCTTTGGGCTCATTTTACTAATATGCCCTGTAGCGAAAAATATTTGGTAAGCTTGACTTCTGCATCTTGGCATCACTCACCTCGCACTGGCCAAGAGGTGGTGTTGGGGGTTAGGGCGACGGTTGCCGTTATCGATTAACTGAAAAGATTTATTCAATTAATTAAAACATAAATCAATTATGATTTATCTATTAAACGTTCATTGATTTTACCATCCCTATGCCATCTCTGCGCAGTGTCGAAGAGCCGACGAACCCGGCTATTGCGTCTTTGTGTGTGACGGCAGGAATTACTGTCGCGCTCCTTCCCAGTCGCTTCGTAGAGTAAGCCTTCAGCAAACCCATCTCCACACATACCGCTCCTTTCGAACTCATGCTTTAGCCACTCCCAGTTTCAGTAACAGTGCATTCTCCGAATTATAGGTAGACAATATGTAGACTGAAAGGCGACAATGAAGCGTAGCAACCCCATAGTAAACCTATAGTAATCTTTGAATAAAAAACTTGTGGTGTTGAGCGTCTTTACAGGAATTAGAGGCAGCAAAAGCACAATGAGCCTGACGGGACGAGTGTTATGACAACACTTGCTAAAAGGCTTATCATGAAGCAGTGCTATGAATCAACTTGCGCACTGAAATTCACTCTGAAAATACAGTGAATATTTGAAAGCTCTACATAAAATCAATTCGCTCTCTTTTATTTCTTTTTGTGCACTCAATATATATATATGGGTTTGAGTGGATATAGATTATTCCCTGTAACAAAAAGGCTATCAAGCAACAACAGCACGCACATGTAGGTGGCTAGAAAAAAAAATGTCAGCGTCTCAGGTTAAATTTTTTAACGCATTGTATTTAAAATATATCAAAGGCTCTATTTTCCACTGTATGTGAGCTTACCTCAGTTTACAAATATGCGATATTTAGTCGTTTAAAGGAGTGACAAAAAAGTTTTATGGTGCCTAGCTTATTTTTTCTTCTTTAACAGAAAGCTTAACGCTCAGAGGGTCCAATTGAAGGGTGATACCCTGGAAAGTGCTTTGAAACATTTTCTATACAAATTGCTTTTTATATACAGTGTGTCTATTAACACATGCTGTAAACAGAGGCAGGTGAATGCAAATGGAATTCATGTTTGTGCACTCTGGTTCACTGCGCATGCACCACTAATCAACATGGTCTCCTAACATTTGCTACATACGCACTGCCGCTTGTCAGTGTCAGCTCCTTTTATTTTGTAGAAAACACAGAATAAAGCAAGTGTTCCGAGTAATATAGACTAATTTCAAGCATAAATTATGGTACACCTAAACAGCAACAGACTAAATACACTTCATTGGCACAGTACAAAAACTTCTCACCAGGCAACACGGTTACTTTAAAACTTTCAAATGCACTTTAAAAATACATATCTTCCTCAAATTACAAAAAGGTCACCATGATAATTCACAATGTTTCCACATCCACCAGTGCCCTGCAGCACAGTCTGGACATCGATCCCTTATTAAAAACTTATTGTAGAATATTTTCCCGAAAGGCTATGAAGGAAAAGCAAGGAAAGAAAAACTTTATTTGCAAGGGTGTGGGACAGGAGTCATGAGCTTGATGGGTGGGGCCCTAAGTCCAGGGCTCCACTGGCTGCCGCCGCCTGCCTGACGTGACACAGAAGTGCAAGCTGCACCTCTGGGTCAGAGCTGGCGAGCTGTGCCTCCCATTGCTCGAAAGTATTATGAAGCTTGTACTGACCTAAAAAGGTATCTAAATTTGGTGGTCGTTTTAGGCATCCCCACGAAATGTGGTAGAGCGATGGCGAGCCGCCACACCACGGACACGCATGCCCGTACAGCGTTGGAAAAATTTTGTGGAATTTTTGAAGATTGGGAAAGACTCCCATTTGAATTCGGCGGAGGTCAATTGCGTCCTCCCCTTCTAATGATTTGTGGGGGGCGCTGTATTTTTGTCGCATGCCTCGCTGGTTAGCAAGAATTTCATGAGGGGCCATTCTGGATGGGCCATTATCCTCCTCAATAGCTTCCTGCTGGAGTGTTTCAAAGGATCGAATGTGCTGTCGAAGCTCTGCTCGGTTCGTGAGCCCTCGAGCACAAGCGTCGGCACTTTCGTTCCCCTCCAGGCCTGCGTGTCCTGGACACCAGATCAGCCTGTATTTGTTCTTCAATCTCCCGCCTAAGAATTTGCTTATTTTTATCGGAAGGCGGCCTCTTAAGAAGAAACGGCACGCTTCCTGCGAGTCGGAAATGATAGTTGTCAGCGGCTCATCTCTCTGTTCCTGCGCTTTGATTGCAAGGGCAATGGCAAAGCATTCCGCCTTGGCGATCGAGGACGTGTACAGCGATGCACATGTCACCATGCCGTTGTCGTTGCTAAGTACTGATGCAATTGACCATTTAAAACTGAACCTCGAAGCGTCCACAAACAAAACATTTTGATTTGTTTTTTAATGTTTTTCGAAGCCATCGCACTCTCTCCTATCGGTGCTTTTTGTTTCTTTTTACATCCATGTTCTTGGGCAGCGGTGAGATCGAGACATTGCTGCGGACGGGATCTGGGATTTCTACAAGAACCTCGTCCAGGTTCTGAGGGTATGGCAGGAAGCCCGAAAGGCTATGAGTATTTCATTCACACAAAACGTTGTGGAGTTCAAGAACTGTTTCGAAAGTGGTTGCGGCACTAGTCAAAGACTATTCAAATATTATTCATTCGGTATTCGATTTGATGTCATTACCATTCGATTCTGTCCTTTTATACATCCCTACTAGACAGTTTTTGAGAAGGGTACCCTGGGCTCTGCATAAGCAATCATTTTTGCATTGTCCCCAGATAGCATGTGCCTTATGTTAACCATTTCTTTCAAGGCCGACGTTGCGGCGCTTTTCAAAATATCATGCGTAGCCGACATCACCATATAATGATCAAGCCCCAAAGCTCATTTGTGGTGACCTCGCAAAGATCCGCGCGAAATTAATTCACTTGCATTTGAATTTGCGAAGAACGCATTCTATTTTAATGCCAAACGATGTGGGACGTTAAACCCCACATATCAATCAATCAATGCCAAACGATGTCATGGCCTGGAAACAAAGTTACCCAAGGAAACGGTGTATTTGAGTAGTTTTTCTCCCATGCAACTGGCTTAGAGAGTAGTTTCAGAACAGCGAAGCGCGACGATTTGCGTTTGCGTTGAGCATGAGTCGTGCGCTAACCTCTTGCGGGCTCCCGTTGAGTGATGAACGCTACCGATACGCCCGCAAGCATTGCGTGCGGTATTCTAAAACTCGGTTTTTTTTTTAATACACAACTGCGCGCTCACTACTTTTTATATCGGGAATACTATGTCACGCCCTTAACACGCATGGCGTTCTAAACGACAGCACAGGGCATGCGGTGACAACGCTAGGAGCAAGGACTTCACACCACATAGATGACGATTGCGCGGCGAAACATAGCCCCTAACAAGTCCCTTTTTTTAATGCAGTTAAAGAGGCATTAGTGTGCGTATTTACATCTGGAAGTGTCCAAAAAATTATAAACGGAACAATAGGGTGCGAGGGTATGCACATCAGTTCACCGGAAATCGCGGTTCCACTTTCACGCAAGAACTGCACAACAGTTCCCCGGAAATCGTGGTTCCACTTTTACGCAAGAACTGGCAGACGGATGGGTTTCGCAAAAGCAGGCCGCTTTAACGAAGTGCATGCTTATAAGGATATTTCCAAAGCTACACCAAACAAGGCAACATCGGCACATTTTACTTAGATAACAGAAAGCGTATGCCCAGCCTACAGACGCTAGCGTAGCATGCAAGTTCCAACGAATGGTTTACTTGTGATGTGAGCTTACCTGAATATTGGTAGCGTTTTCAGGACTCTCACTCGTCGCCGGAACTTATGTAACACATTTAACGTAAACGTTCTGCTATTTCAGAAAGAAAATTAGACTTCCGCGCGATTAACAAGGGTCACAACGCAGAAGGACTCAAGGAAGATGGCGTTATCTCTGGCAACCGGAGAACAACTACCAGGCAACCTTGTTAACTTGGGTCTGGGGAAGCTTTCACTCCGCTTGCTCGTGTAGGATCTCCCTATGCTTAGGTACTACCTAGGAACATGTGTTGAGTTGTTCATCCCCAGGAGAGCCTGTTGCTTGAACCGACCGCTGACTCACCTTTCTCGACGTCCAGGTGGCAAGAAAGCGCAATGGCCTGGTGTTCTCCGTTTACAGGAAGCCAATGCACACTGGCCGCTACCTTCCATTTGATTTTTCCCACCCCGCCTGCCACAAGGCCTCGGTTGTGACCGCGCTACTCCGGAGAACTAAGAACTTGCGCTCCAATGACACGGAGCGAAAGAAAGAAGAGGGCTGAGTAGTTGCGGACCTCAGAAAAAACAGATACCCAAAAAACTTCATTCGAGCCGCCACCCGCCGCGCAGAGCAAGAGAGGATATGAAAACCCCAATCAACCTTAATTGGCAGCCCCCCCGAAACACGTACGTTCAGGGAACCAGCGAGATGGTGGCGCGGATCTTCAAGAAGGAAGGGGTTCGCATCGCGCACGTGCCTTCGTGTACGCTGGGCCACCTCCTCCCCCACCCGAAGGACCGGCCAAACAATGGACAGGACCCCCGGTGTCGTTTACAAAATTCCGTGCGCCGAGTGCCCCTCTTTGTATATCGACGAGACGAAAAACCTACCGGAACGACTGAAGCAACACGCCAACGATGTGCGGAAGCTCTACAAAGAGCGCAGCGCAGTCGCCAAACATGCTGACATTGGATCACCGGATAAATTTCGAAGTAACGGCCATCCTTGAGAGCGAGCCGAACTGGGGGAGAAGGTTATTACTCGAATCGTGGCACATACAGAGGACAGCCCATAACATCAACCGCTCTCTCGGAACCAATGGCGATCATCCGCAAATTTAATGTATGAGGCACGGAAAGTAAGGCCTTGAACTGTAGTGTTTTGGTGGATGACGGCCGCCGTGTACCAACCCTCATGGTGTGGGCCGGCAGCATCCACGTAGAAGACACCTGGCCTATGACCGTGTAGTTGAGAGATAGCCTCCGCCCGCGCAAGGCGGCGAGCATCGTGGACGTATCCAGACATGTAATTGTTTGGAAGGGGTCGCACCTGAAGTGCGAAGCGCCAAGCTTCGGGGACGCGAACCCGTTCTTCCGGCTGTGTGATGAGGGATATGTGTAAGCGGGCCAGAAGGCGGCACCCCACAGGTGTTTTGCTCAGGCGCAGGTATTGATTAGTAAGGCGAGCTTCTCGTAGCTCCCCAAACGTGTTGGTCATCCCCAGACGGAGAGAGAGAGAATAAACTTTATTGGGTTCCAGCATGCGGGATTCCCTCCGGCCGCGCAGGGCGTGGGGTTCACCCTATCTCACGTTACACTAGAAGTCCTAATGTCACGCGGGCCTAGACCTCAAGGCCTTCGTGCCCCGTCGCCGCTCGGGTTACTGAGGGTGTCCCCCTTTCGCCTTTGCAGCGCCAGTGCGACCTCGAGCTGCCGGACGGCCCTTCGCTGGTCTTCTGGGTCCGTAGACCCCACACGCTGTTCTACTTGCGGCGGTAACACCGGACCGTCCGCGCTGTCTGCGTCACATCCCCAGAGTATGTGAGCCAGGGTGGCTCTCGCGCTCGCGCACACACTGCACATTTCACTCACGTAGAGTTCGGGGCACACGTGTCGCGCTAGCGATGGGGTCAGCACAGTCTCGGTTTGGAGCTGGCGCAACCTCACCGCCTCCCACCGGGTAAGATCCCTGTGCGGAGGCGGGAAGCCACGCCGTTGCTCCCTGTACCACGCGAGGATGTCGCCGTAATCGAGCAGCTGCTCCTCGCCTTCTTCTTTGGTCGCCGTCGTGTCTTCGGAGGCGGGCGCGGCCGCGGTCCGGCACGTGGCGAGACCACGGGCCGCGGCATCCGCCTCCTCGTTGCGGCATCCGCCTCCTCGTTGCTAGGGCGATGGCTCACATGGGTAGGGACCTGATACCAGGATCTCCGATCCCCAGACGGAGGAGGCGTACGCTGGTTGGACGTCGTTGTGGGGAGGTCGAGTGCTCTCTTGTAGACCTTGCGGAGACCTGCATCGAATGCAATCTCGTCGCATTTTCGTAGGTGCAGGTAGGGAGCCGAGTATAAAATTCGGCTGGTGACAAATGCATTAGCCAGGCGCAGGGCATTTTTGCAACGTAGTCCCCCCTTTTTATTGGATACGCGACGAACCATCCGGCGCACCTGATCCCCCACCTTCGTATCTTGCGTAGAGTAGTGTCAATCTTGCGCCCTTGTTGAATAAAAAGCCCCAGCAGGCAGATTTTCTCGCGTTCGGGTATTGGTCCGCTACGTAGGGACAAGAGTAATTTGGTTGTACACTTTGAGTTGTGGCGGAGATGCAGGAATTCCGATTTGCTCGGGGACCATTCAAGGCCACAGTGACGAGCATATTCGTCCACAATAGCTGCTGCTCGTTGCAGGTTGGCCCTGATCTCTCCAACCGAGCCTTGTGTTGCCCATGTGGTGATGTCCGCATACAGAGCGTGCTACCCACCGCTGACCTCAACCAACTAAGCAGGGAGCTTCATCATGGCCAGATTAAATAATAGTGGGGACAGGGCGGCTCCCTGTGGGGTCCATCTTGTGCCTAATTGATATGGGCCATGTTCCGTGTCTTGCAGCCGGATTGAATTGGCAATTTGTGAGAAATTGTTTCATGTAACGAAAAGTATATTAAGCCCGCATTCTGTTTGCTACAGGTGGTATAGGATGATCTCATGGGTTACATATGGTCGAAGGCACCTCGCTAGTCAAGTGCGTGAACCACTTTATCATTGCTGGGGTGCTCGGCAGAGTCTAGAATCTCCTTGTGAAGTTGCAGTAGAACATCTTGTGCGCACCGGTGTGGGTGGAAGCCGTGCATATGGTGTCTGCAAAAATGTTTTGCTGTTCCAAAAATTCTGAAAATCTGTCGCGGGCCATTGCTTTCATCAGCTTTCCCACACACAAAGTGAGGGAGATGGGCTGGTAGTTGTCAGTGTTGACGACCTTACCCGGTTTTGGAATGAAAGTTACTAATGGCGTTTTCCAGTCGATGGTCAAGGGTGTGCCTCCGAGCGCTATAGTGTTGAAATACTCGAGTAACATGTCGGAGGCGGGATTAAGGAGGTTGGCTAAAAGCTTTAACGAATCGTTCCGGCTCGGTGCTTTACCTCGTTTCATTTTAGCCTGTGCCGCCTTTAGGTCATGGAGCTGGAATGGTTGATCCAACGAGGTGTTTCCAGAACCTGCATACGAGTACGCCAGACCATGGAGATCCTGGTGCATGCTGAGATATTTATCGCGGAGAGCATCGGTCAGTTTGGATGTGTCTCCATTAACGTTATATAGCCTTTTGAAGCCGCTTTTGTGTTTCGGTACGGGTTTGTGCCGGATCCATAAGAGCGCGGAAGAGGCACCACGTACTGCGACTCGACATTTGCCGAGCTGCCTGGTTGCAATGCTCCAACCAATTAGAGTCGGTAAGCTGGGCCAGGCCCGTGGCATGATGGAAGCTTCGCGTCCGTACCGTGAGGCGTCGCCACCATCGAAACGACGACAGCTGACCGCCGGCGGCGGCAAACGAACGCCATCTAAGCCTTATTTTATTTTTCAGACTTGAGAATGGTAAGCATAAAAAACCGTTTGTCATTTAATTTTAGCCATTCAGAAGCATGCGTGGTGCGAACGCCTGGAAAATCGGAAAATGACGCACTTTAGATGGCAGCGTGGACCAGAAAACAAACTGTCGTGCCGCACTGCTCATCAAAGGCACGTGAATACGTTCATATTAATTACAGAAAGTTTGCCAAATACTGTCAACGAGGTGTTACGACATATTAAGCTACAGAAGTGCTGGAACGTTATCAGTATACTTTTACTTACCACAGCGAACGTTTTGTGGAGTGCGATGGATATATCAGCCAGCGCTGGACAGCTTCTGTGCTCCGAGCATCTGCGTTGGAGCTATGCGTAGTACGTACCTGAAATTGTTTGCACAGGAACGCTGATGCATGCACATTGTTCACTGCTGTACATTCTAAAACGTTACTACGTGACCTTTATTTCATGTAAATGTCGATTGACCTGCAATAAAACAATTTATTGCCGCAAATTTGTGTGATCAGCGTTGTCATTTCGCTCGGCCTGCATGCGGCATCACTCACTTACTAAAGTAAGTATTCAAGATACTTGTGAGCGTCTAGTAAATAGTTCACTGCATTGTACTATATGGAAACGAGAGAAATTGAGACAGGGACCTGCTTCAATTAGCGGGGGACAGCCATGAAGCAGAAGCAGACGACGACAGTGACGACGGTGTTGTTTGGAGGTCAGTGACACTGACCTCCAATAGGGAGCTGGATGGCGCTTAGAGCGCGCCGGCTTGAAGCCACCGGAAGTCGGCGGCCTTGTCACGGAAGCCGGTGCTTGCTCCCGCCTGACTGCTGCCGGCGTGCGTGTTTTCTGGACTTCTCTCAAAAGAATGCCTGCCTGCTGTGCTGTTAATTGCACAAGCAGGCCAGAAAAGTCTTCTGGAAAGACGTTTGCGTAAGTGCCCTTAAATCATTCTTAATTCCCCGTAACTGACTTGCATGGAGCATGAGCACGGAGCATTTGCGATGCGTTGAACGGCGTGTTAAAGCTGTCTGGTATTTGTCTTGCAGGTTTCCGCGTTCCCAGCCCCACTTGTACCAGCAGTGGGTTGTGAACCTCAAAAGGGACAAATGGAAGCCATTTCCAGGCAGCAGACTTTGCAGCAGCCACTTTACCGAGGCGTGTTTTGACCGCTCGGGTTCAAGGACGCGTCTGAAAAGCGACGCCATCCCAACGCTGTTTTCTTTCCCGGAACACTTGCAGAAGGTGAGACTTCTTCTTCTCTGTGCACCAATCATTACTACGCAAAGTCATGGCTTGCAAGAAGATCTTTCCCGGATGTAGCTTCTCACATGCACGGCAAA